CCTGGCTAAGATCCCCTCCTAACAGAAGCTGAGCATGCCCCATTGCTTAAGGTATTAAAAATGCCCAAGAGAAAGCAGTAGGTACCAGAAATGAATGCATTATGTAGCTAGGATGGAAGACTGCCTCTGTCACTGACTGTAACACTGCCCTGTAACACAAAACCAGGCTCTCCATGCCTCAGTTTTGTTCCTCTGCCAGGCTGTCCTGCCGAAATGCTAGCATGCTATAAAGCATAATTAGAAAGACCTCTTGTGGCACCTCCATGGCTCCCAAAGGCTTAATTGCCTAAGGCATATTTGCTAATTCCTGCCAGCTGCATGATACTGAACCCCAAATGTACAGCTATGTAGGGGCACCCCTTTCTCCCTTGTGACCAGAAAAATAAGGCAGAGCAATTGACCTGCAGCCTGGGGTAGGCGCTGGATGTTCAGGAATCACATCCAGCTGCTGCTGACAGAAGTGTAGAAAATAAGGTGGTGCCGTTCTCTGTACAGAGGAGAACAGTGGCAGTGGTTTGCTACAAACGTGGAACAGTGATTGGGTGACCTGCCTGGAATTAATTGTATAAGAGAAAAGCCTGCCAGTCTCAAGATGCCTCCTAGGTCCAGACTTCCACCCCCTTTCTACTTTGAGACCAATGGGATGCCACTGGAGCTCTAGGTGGTGACTTTCCTTTAACTCTTTATTTCTTTTCCTGATCTTTCCCTTTTGTAGTTTAGGGTTAGTTATCGTATTTTTTACAAGCTGATGACAAATACATAGCTGTAATCTTACCAGCTGGTCTGCACCTAAATAAAAGCTTGTTTTTGCACTCAATGTTGTATTATCTTTGTTTTGCCCTGGCAGGATCGCAAAGAATCTTCACATACCCGATTATCAGATCGTGACACCTTCATATACTAAAGACCCAATGATTCAGTAATAACTGATAATAACTGAAGGGCAGCCTATAACATTCAAAGTTTTCCATTTCTCTTTAATTGCTATATATTCAACTCACCTATTCCTCAAAGAAAACTTTAGTAAAGCAGAGAGGTTTCATATGGAGCATGACAGGCTTGTTGCCCCTTTCTCCTTTAAAATAACATTGATGGGGTATCGTCTATACAGTCTAACTTCGGAAATCCTCACACTTCGGAAATCCTTACTTAATGCAGTCACAGAGATGTATATTACTAAAGATAGATTAAAGAATATGATGAGGAGAGACAAGAGGCCAGATTTTGAAATTCAGAATGTCAGTAAAGTGAGGATTGCATTTAGAGGCAATGAGGGCTATAGATATTTTTGTGCTAGCAGTGGTGGAACAAGATGGGCATCACCTTGGCCTGCTGAGTATTTACTGTCTGTGCCTGCAAATCTTTTTTTGACATAAACATTTTCATTTGTCATCCAAAAAGGGCAGTGGGCAAGAATTGCAAACTTGGGATCTTTGCCCCCAATTTTCAGATGATCCAATATGTTAAGGCAACATGAAAACAAGCTCCTAATCCATACTGCAAACATAATGAAACCTTCAGGATCTTGCCCAGGAAGATAAAAATCTCTGTTTGAAGTTTATATACGTGTAACATTCATATCTGCATGCTGTAGTCATGATGGCACTGAGTGGAAGAATTAATGATTCACTAATCTAGAATAATTTTTCTTCAGGAGAGAAGAACTTCAGGTAGCTCCTTACTGATGAGACATGACAGTAAGAACAGGTCTCTGTGCTGTGGTTTCTTTCCTTCCTATAGCAAAGAGGAGGTCTTGTCCCTGCCCGTAGCAGAGGAATTTGACCTAGGTGATTTTATGGCCCCTTCCAGCCCTAACCTTTCTGTGATTCTCAGAATATTATTTATAATGAGAAAATTCATAAATTATTATGAGATACCTTGGGTGTTAAAAGGTGCAGCAGTGCAAACATTATAATGCACTATTTTTCCTTTTCTGAGGTAGCTCTTGAAGTCAAGTAACTGGAGTGTATATAGTGCTTTGGTGTTCTAGTCATTTTCAGATACTGAGTGTATGAAATTACAAGTCCCTTAATTTTTTAGTTTTGAGCAGTGTCTCTGGAAGCAAGGGCAGCTGCCAGCTTGTTAAAGGTCTTCAGATAAAGTGCAGCATGGAGCTGTTAGCTGCTGGTATTGTAGCTATGAATCCCTGGCTGGAAAACTGATACTGCTTCTCTCCATGCTTGACTCCTCTGCAATGAGAGACCACTGCAGCAGGTGCACTCTGATTTAACCCTTAGGACAAAATCACTACCCTGTGCTCAGGTTAGCTCTGGTTGTACACAGAAGCTCTATGGAACAGAGCACAAAATTGCCAGCTAACTAAAGCTTAAACTAGGGCAGGGGAGGGATGGAAGCATGCTCTGGTTTGTCAGTGTCCAGGCTGGATCTTGTAGCATAAAAAAAGGCATGTTTGCTTAATGGAAATGCAACCTAGATGTACCATTAAAATACAAAAGAAGACAAGTTTGTGCTGTGGTAGAGAAGAAGGAAGTAAATGGAGTAGTTAGTGCACTAAGGAAGGAATCAGTAGTATAACATTGGGCAAAGATTTAAGCTGGTTGCATACAGAATGTAAGAGAGATCAAACTCACCTGGTATATAAAATTTCTGATTTATTTACTTCAGTAAAAAAAAAAATATCTTAAAATTTGAGCATAGTCTTAAAACCAGTTTTATTCTGTAAATGTATTCATGAAAATTGGAAGTGTTGCTGTAATGTAAAAAAAAAAAAAAAAAAAGTGGTGAACCAAGCTATCACACTGCATGCTATAGTTGCTCTCTTGCTTGCACTAGAAATCTAAGGTAAACACCTTAATTGAAAGAGTCCAGTACATTCATTTTACTGAAGAGAGTCCATCACAAGTCATGAGTCATGAGTTCATGTTACAAACTTGTAGATCACTCCTGGAGAAGATCTGTGTCTTGAATACAATGCTCAGTTTGCTGAAGCATCCTTAAAGCAGCATCAGAATCCCTTAGCAGTGTTTCAGTGGGACTGTTTGCAATGAGTCTCCTGATGACTGTGGGCTTAGTCAGACCTGGGAGAGATGCTGTGGTAAGATGGCAGCTCATGTAATACATCTTCAGGGAAGCCTGTTTTGTGAGGAAAGATGCTTTGACTGACTCTATGTCCAGCTAGCACACGTGTGAGGAGGTTTCCAGCTTGATTGCTGAAGTGAAGTGTCACTTAATGTGCTACTGTAGCTTTTGCACCACAAGTGCTTGGGTGATGTAAGTAAATACTTATCACTCATCATGGATGCTAGGAAATTGCACAGAAACTGTTCTCCCACTCTTACATTTTCATCTTCAAAGCTACCTTTAGACATGCAAAGTGCCAGTAATCTGCTGTCATGTTTCTGATTTGTTACTGCCAGTGGAATATACAAACCCAAAATGCATGCAAAAATGCATGCAAAAATGTATTTGTACTTATATGCAGTTAGGAGAGAACTACACTTCTGATGAGGGGGAAGACTTGCCCTCAGAGTTTGCCCTGCTGATGATCTTTGCAGTATTTCCCTAGTGATTTTCCAGCTTGATAGGAGATGGTGCACCTGCCTATATGATTACAAGGTGGATCTGTTGACATCTCCTAGGTGTTCACTGTGACTATGGCTGCTTTGCAACCTCAGACTCAGAAACTCCTGACAAACCAAAGCATCTACTCACTGCAAGTTACTTCTTGATATTCAAACCCCACCTTGAACACAGCAATTAAGCTTTTCTTGTCTTGATGGTGTAAAATGGCACTGAACTTACTGAAGGATGGTTGTGATTAAGGCACTAGGCTAAAACTCAGGAGTGCAGGATTCAGAGGGTTCCCTTGTACAGTATAAGACAAGCCTTAGGTCCCCCATCATGTTGGTGGGCAGGAAGGGTTAAAAATCCTGTGTGAAGGTGAAGTGCCCAAATACCACCATCATGAAACCTGTATTGCCATCAAAGTAGGACTACAAATGTTTTGGGTTTTTTTCTGGGTCTTGTTCTGTACTAAATTTGCATATGAAAACACAGCAAATTAAATTTATTAAAATTACATTAATTAAAAGTTGCATCTTAGTTGTTATAATAAATCAGTTATGTGAGCAAGATCCAGTAAATTCAGAAACTGTATTCCAGTCAGTGCTGTAAAAGCCTAGGATTAATTGACTGTAAATAACTTGTGTTTTTATTAACAAGAATCTGTCTAGGCTCTTCAGTGAAATCACAGTAAGTCCCCTCAAACTACATAAATCAGAAAGAATATAAACCTGTTTCAGGGAGGAAAAAAAAAAAAAAAGACACATGTCCTTAGGTTCCTCAGGATTTATAATGCTGTTTGATTGGGCTATTACAAAACTACTCTAATCAGGATTAAGCCTTGCACCCTGGAAACTAGAAGTTATGAGATTACACGATAATTAAGGGTGATTTAGAAGATCAAAGCCTTTTTGAGGAAATAAGATCCCTAATTTTATTCCTTTAAAAGGAGTTGGTTTTTTTAACTTGTATTTGACCTAATTGTCTCTCTCTGTGTTGATGAATACTGTAAAAATGTGGCTTTGATGAAGTTATTGATATTTTTGCAATAAAATTCCATTTGTTCAGGATTTTACCCCCCCTCCAGAAATATCACAACAGCTACTTTTTACACAACTGAAACTGTTATGCTCTCCTGAATAATTAACATGTCAAATAATGATTATTTATTTATCTAAACAGTGGAACAAAGAACTTGGGTGTAGGTCCTGTCTTTGTCAAACCAATTCACCTCAGACTCACCCTGCTGCAAAGTGTTTCTTCTGCTCAGCGTAGATCTTTGAGTTAAACCATGAAAGGAGAAGCAGCTGGCTTTCATTGGATTGTTTGGGCCAGTTCGGGTTTTTAGATGCAATGCCGTGATGCAGTGTCCTTGCAAGGAAAAAAATGAAGCCACGTTTTTGGAGGCTTGGGTAGGGCTGCTTCCTCTCTCCAGGGCCTCTGGCCTTGCTCATGCCTCTGCCTTGTTGATTCTGCTGTCAGTCCCTCTGCAGCCCCTGGCCCACAACATAGAGTTCGGGGTGGGAAGCAGATCTGTTGGACTCTTTGATTTCAGGAACACAAGGGCTGCTCCAAGAGTTACCTGCTTTTCTAGGGCTCTCCTCCAAGCTGAAGAAGGAAAGATGCTTAAGTTAAGAGGCTAATGAATCATGACTTTTTAAAACAGTGCTGATTAGACCACATTAACCCATGAAACACAAATGCTGCAAGATATTATGTCATTCCCTGCCTCCTCCTGTATACAGGCTCCTTATAGACACAGTCCAGATTTTATTCTTGTGATGACAAATGCACTGCACTGTCCCCTCCCAAACCTCTTTCAGGGAGCAAACATTTTGTGTTTAACAGGGCACCAGTGTGAATCTGGGTTCACTTGCAGATAGAGACAGATTTGAGTGAAAAGTCCTGTTCCAGATTCTACTGAAGGAAAGGTCTTACCTCTTACCTTACGCATCTGCTTAGCATGGCTAGAGTGATTCCTGAGTATGTCAACATGACTGTGGGCTGTGTATTCTGGTGGTATAAATCTGCCACTCTGAAGACAGAGTATAAGTAATGTTCCTGAGGTTGCACTGGCAATCTCTACGGGCACAGGAACTTTATGAATCAAGATTGACTATAGCAGTGGAGCTAGTGATGAATATGGTTCTTTGTGCTGTGCCCTGTGTTGCTGTAACTAACTGAAGTGGTTTAAGCTCAACATGGGAAAATACTCCAGAGTTATCTTGGAATCATTACTGTATTTTAAGTACATACATTACTAAACTGAATTAGCTTTCAACTGTAGGCAAACTGTTATGTTCTTATTCTGACTTCTAGGACTTGAGTGATTTGAACTGCTGAATGAAGACATTTATGACACAAGACCAGTCATGAAACTAATGCAGAATCAAATATTGCCCAATTGCAGAACGTCTCATTAGGGCTATTTGCTCTGGGCCAGTTCAGTCAATCCAATCCATCCTCAAGCCCTCCTTGAACAATATCTTAAAGACAAGAACATTTAATCTTCTCTCTACCTCTTAGAAGATCAGCAGTGTCAATGAAATACTATATTTTAGCCGCATACAAATAAATTCTATTACAGATTAACAAGATTTCTACGAGCAGAGCAATTTTACATGCTGTGTCTTGATGTCAATAACTGCTGATTGCTGTCAAATGAGCAAGCTTAAAAAACAGCAAAATTATCTCAGTCTGTCCATCCACAGGCTGTCCAAGTGGGAACCAGTTTACTGACTTGAGCACTGTAACCTGAAACTGAAACTCTCATCCAGGTACCCTAAGACTAACCACAAAATCTCCAGCTCCAGTGTCAGTTAGGTCTAACAATGTTTTAAATCCTGATATCCCTTAGAGCATGGGATGGGCAGGAGATGTGTTTGGGAAAGGAGCACTTTTTGCCTTCTACAGGAGCTGTGAATGTGCAGGAGACACCCAAGTCTGTGCACAGTACCGACATTCAATACCTGGCAAAGCTAGCGGGTGAAATGATATGGAAGACACCTCCTTTTCTTCGATATTTCTGCTAAAATGAAGTGGGTGGGAGAGGGGACTCATCTGCCTGATGAGGAACATGTTGCTTGCATAAGCTCCTGCTGGATTATCTTTAGCAGTTTGCTTCTCAGCAAATGGATGTTTTCGCTGGGCATGGAAGAAGTGGAGAGATATATCCTGGAATTTGGAAGCATGGGAGAAACTGCCTAACTCACTGATTTTCAAAATGTTATACCAATAAAAGTGATGCTATTGCAAGTGTGACTTTATCTTTCCTCTGTCCTGTGGACAGTGCTTGAAGCTGTTAATAATACACAAAAATCCCACACAGACAAAAAAAACAAACAGGCATCATTACATTTTGAGGGGAAAGGTAGACCAAGAGAAGGAATGAAGGAGACGGACAGCTGGGTGGGAATAGCATGTGAATTTGAGACCAGATGCAAACATAGCCAGAATGACAAGGATGAGGTATACAATATCTGGTCTAGGGATACATTTTGAAGTTTCCCCATTTGCTGAATGAATTGCAAAGCAGAGGAAGCCTTGGATGCTTAATGAACTTGAAGGAGCAAGATGGATCAGAGCATGGTGGTTTGCCTCTTAACGGCATTTGCTGTAAAAGCAGGGGTCAGCATTTGTGCATGGGGATGTGGTGCTCAGTGCTGTGGCAACTGCTCCTGTCCTCAGCAGGAGGAGTTGGCCAGCAGTGATGTGAGGGGTTCTCAGAGCTTTTGCAATGTACTGATTCCTAAAATGGTTCCTCTCTGGCCATGGGCACACTTGCTGTGATATTCGTATTAGGCCATTCAGTGTAAGGTCTGTAAAAATTTACTGCAGACAGCTTATTTTAAGAAAATACACAGTAGTGTATTGCATCTTAAATCAGGGCATATGGTACTTAATGGCCTAAATATCCTTTTTGCTTATGCTGACATAAATTTGGACTGACTCACGAAGACTGCTTTTGATGTCCATTTGTATAAACTGAATTTGGCTTGGGATATATTTCATTCTTCCAAAATGCTCTATATCATAACACTGGGATATATAATTATTTTCATGAAAGGATTATTTACAGTGTTTTTTTAATATTACTCTCTATGCTCTGACAGACTACAATAGAAAGATAATACAACCCACTGAAGCATAAATTAGCTAACAACTTATAATGGACTGTTTTGAAAATTGATCCATAAAACTGCCTGGGCTTTTGTCTTGCAAGGTTTGACGTAAAGTCTCTTTTGAAAACATATATTTCTGCTAGCGTGCACTGGAGTAGAAAAAAACTGACTTCACATAGTACATAATAACAACAGAAAACCCAGCAACAACATACAAGACTTTTAGGAAAGGTTCAAATGTAAGACCATAGTGCAATATTAGAACTTGAAATGCAAAACGGCTTGCATTTCTCAGTGGTTTTTTGCATGTTTTGTCAGTCCTTATTCCGTCTTTGGGGAAGGAAGGCCTGCCTGGACACCTGACTTTGGTATTCACAACTGTGTCAGTACTCACAACACACTGAGTGTTTGTGCACTTCCAAGTGTAGCTTTATCTCCTGTTAGGGCTGGTATTGCAATCCGTACTCATGGAGACAAGTCATGTGATTTCAGCCGTTCCGTGGTAAGAGTGAAAATACCCTTCATGTGAGGAAAGGTTATCTGAGAAGGGTCTTAATCATCTTGTGTAGTTTAGAGATCAATACATTTAAACATTTGGCAAAGAAACTGGAATAACAGCACTTTGTACTTCCAGGCTGTTACACTGATCTTAGAATATTCCCAAATACAAATTTCTGTTTCCTGGCTGGTTTTGTGATTTTTTTATTTTAATTTTTTTAAGTAGTAGGGAAAATTTAAAGCAAAGCCCAGATTTTTAAAAATCAGAATGGCTTTAAAACCAATTATTGCAAATGTGAAATTGAGTGTGTTGATGCTTCAGTCTCTTTAAACTGATTTTTTCAGAGCAATGAATGTCCAGTAGCCATGAGAGCGTTTCCCACTTTGAAAACTGGGCCTGGGCTGTGGACCCATCAGACTTGAAATCATCACCTAGACCTGAAAGCCTACATGAGAAGCTCAAAATTTCAAGCTATATTTGCATCCATACACATCCTTGCCTACCAAGTATCTGTCTGTCATTACAGACTCACGGAATGATAGGGGTTGGAGGTGACATCTGGAGATAATCTAGCCCAGCCCTACCTTCGCCAGCTAATATGAAACATTTTAATACATATTTCAGCTGAGCAGTTTACTGGCTTAAAGGCTGATGTTAGGAACAATATTCATTCCCTTGGTGCAAGCTTAACTTCTCATGGTTCTTTAAAAATGTTTATAACCTGAGTTTTACTTCAGAGCTTTTAAGAATTGAATGTGGATATCTTTAACCCCCATTCAAATAAGGAGAATTCTGTGCCATGAAACCAGCACTGAATTTTCCCTGGGGTGCCTGTGACAGCACATGTGTAAGTCTAAGGTTTGAGCAAGCCATGGTAAGGTAACTCTTCCCTTTATTCAGATCGGTAGTCTACTGAAATCTGCGGGAATAGAACAGAACAGGACAGAACAGAATAGAATATTTCAGTTGAAAGGGACCTACAGTGATCATCTAGTCCAACTACAATGCTGTCTTTGCCCAGCCATCTGTTCTGCACATGAACAAGGCACTTTTTTTGGTAAATCTCTTAACAATATTAAATTTACAACAGGAGTTTAGGAAGCCAACACAGTGCTACACTTATGCTTTCCTGGCCTAAAGTGGAAAGTTTCTTACTTTGCTTGGTTAAGTGCAGGTTCACTGCCACTTGTTACAGGAGCTGGAAGATGAAACTGGACCCCTGGTCGGCGGTCAGAGAAACTTCTCTTCACAAACAGCTGAGGATTGGCAGCACTCAGGGACAGTTTTCTGGTCTGGTCTCCAGGCTGCCGGAAAAGTGGACTGCTCTTTGGGGAAAACAGTGAAGCTTCAGGCTGGCTGGTCCCCTCTGCAGCAGGTTTTTTGGGTACCAGTGAAGGTTTGGCTTCGAATAAGGAAGAAGTGGCCCGGCAAAATATTGAACGGACATTGCTACCCCTCTTGGAGGATGGAAGGTGGTACCCCTCTCCAGCATCCAGCCCAGCTCTTGGCCCCTTGTAGGAGTGGGATGGGGAGGTTGGTGGGGAGGGGGTGATGAGGAATGGAGGGGGGCTTGCCTCTTGGTGGTAGGCTGAGGAGCCCAGCAGCTGCTGCAGTGTTGGTGAGCTTTGCTTGTGCCCCCCAGGAGGACTGAGAGGTTTTCGCTGTGGTGGCGGAGAGAGCAGCTTCTTCTGCAAAGGTGGGCTGGGCATCCTGGGGCTAGAGGGGGGACTGGGTTTCTTCTGCATGGTGGGTGAGCTTGGTTGTGGGTTGCTAAAACCCTGCAGAGAGTGCCTGTGGTGTGTTGGGGAGCTGAAAAACCGTTTCTCAGTTGGTGGAGAAGAAGGAGTTCTCGTTGGGGATACGCTCCTGGAAAGCACTGACCTTTTTTTGTTTCTCCCACGCAAATCAGAAAAATTGTGCTTCTGGTGTTGCACTGAAGTCACAGGTGAACTAAGCTCTTTTCTTTCTGAGCTGTTGCTGTCTGGTTTTGAAGCCTCACTGGGATTTTGAAGAGGAATAATTTTATGGGTTTGCTTGTACAAATCCGCAGCCTCTTTTCTCTGGGTTGCCAATATCTCTTCCTGGCTAGGTATGTGCACGTTGGTAGGGTTCAGCTCCAGAGAGTACCTCTTCAGCTTTTTGTCCCCTGCTCCAGTATTCCTTAGACCTTTATTAGCAATTGCGCTAGGGCCACTGGTATTTTTACTTGGCAATAAGTCAATGGACTGAAGAGAGGCTTTAATTTTTGGGGAAACCTGTGATCTCTTAGTAGCATGAAATTCTGTTTTGGCAGGATTTTTGGCATCTTCTGAAGAGTTTGCTTCTATTTGTGCAGTTTCTTCAGGCTGAGATAAATCTAAAGAAGTGTCCATTAACATTTCAGGTGGTGGTGGTGGCAGATTCTCTATGTCTTCATCAGTCTCTTCCTTTGTGTCCTTGCTTAGCTCTTCAGCTGGTGCTGGAGGAAAGGCATTCAGAAAGCTTGAAACTCCATTGGTGTTTGAAGGATTTGCTTCTTCTACTGGTGAAATACGATGCTTAAAATGTAAAGGTGCCAGGCCTTTCTGAAAGGGAATGATAGGTGGGATGCCTGGAAGTTCAAATTTTCTGGTGCACTTCATTGGACCTAAAGATCTTGAAGGTGCAGCTTTCAGAAGATCATCAGTAGGACTGAATGTTTCAATAAGCTTTTTGACAGACTGTCGGGGGGCACAGCAGCTGCCACTGAGCATTTGTGCTCCAAGAGGCTCCTTTTCTTTACCTCCTGATGTCTCCTGCATGGGCACAGTAGCTCTTAAAGGCTTCCTGCTTCTTTTATCATCCAGGTGATGGGTGGGAATTTGATCAACCATGAACAAAGGGACTTTATCCTGGTTAGGCAGGATGCTGAAATTTTTTGAAAGGAATGCCTTCAGTTTGCTAGAGGACCTAGATGTAACTTGCCGATCCTGCAGATAAGGTGCTGTTCTTGATTTCCAAGGCTCTGGATTGCTATCTGTATCCTTCTCATTAAATATTTCCAGCCTTTTGCTGAGCTCTTTTTGAGTTCTCTGAAGCTCTAGGAGGGTTGGATCCTCTCCCTGGCTTCTGAGGGACTCCTCTGACCTGGACCGTTGTTGTTTCCTGTAGGTTTTCCGGCTACCTGTTGCTGTACTTGGTCTTGCTGTTAGTACTGCTCTTCCACTCTCATCCTCTATCCATTCTTTATGCCCAGATTTAGCTGGGACAAACTTGATTTTTTCACTGATGGCATCCTTCATCTTCAGAATAATTTCTTCTGTATCTGCATTCTCCGTCCTATTGATGGACTGCCTTTGTGTGTTATCAGTGACTGCAGGTGAAGTCAGGGGCCTCCTCGGCAGAGCATCCTTCCCTGTTTCTGATAAACTTGTATTGTCATCATCCTCTCCCTGGGTGCTTCCTTGGTCATCGTCCTCATCATAATCAGAAGGAAAATCTGTTGATTCACAGATTTTAAAATGTTCACCCTCCTGAGTAGAATCAGAGTGGAAGAAGTTATAAGAATGGCTTTTGCCCAAGCTTGCATATTGGGACATGGTAGAAATGCCTTCTGGTACTCCAGCCTGACAAGAAGCGGCTCCCCTACTCTGCGCAGTTGAATAAAATACATCTTTAAAATGACTTTTGAGTGCATAGTCATGGGATCTGGCTGTATCCAGTAACGATGTCCCATCATATACATGCTCCACTGTTTTGGTGTGCTTTTGGGACGGATGTCGATGTGCACAGGAATCACAGCTTGCTTGTCCTGCATGCTGGCTGAAAACACTGAACTCCTTGAGGGATTCATTGTCCACGCCAATGCCACTATCCTCAGAACAGAGAGTCCTGTCATCATTGTGGAACTGAGAGGATCCCACTGCTGAGGCTTCAAGCAGCCTTACCACCCGTTGCAAGCGCTCATCAAAGCTTTGCTTTGCTTTCAGCTTTCCTTCCAAGTTGCTTGCAGCAGACTGCATGTATCTGCAGGTCTCCTGCAGGGCACTGGAGGTGAGCGAGGCCAGAATCCCACTCAGTAATTGCATTTTATTGACCGTGTACTGCAGTAGTTGTTGCAGAAGATCAGGGTGCTCCTTCAAATCACCTTTTCCTGCTGGCCATGCCAAATTCCCACCTACATCTTTGAGAAGATTTTCTCCATCGTTGGCAATTTCCTCCAGGAGCTGATTGATTTCATCAAAGCGAAGCACAAGAAAGCTTACCATCTGCTGTAGGAAGAGCTGAGTTTGGGTAGCCTGGCTGGCCATGTGAAGTATAGTTTCATACTTGGAGATGCTGGGATTTAAGTAGGCGTATGCACTCTGATGAGCCTTAACAAGTAGTTCTGGGAAATCTATCTTTTTCTCTGTCTCACATGGGGCCAAAATGGACTTGACTTTACTTTTGCTAGGTCGACCTTGCTTTGCCAGCTTATGATTTTTTTGCTTCTTTCCTTTCTTTAGCATTTGATTTGCATTGCTTTCATTCTTGTCATCCCAAATGAAAGCTGTTTTTTCTGATTCACAGGAGCTTTGCTTTCTGATCTGTATGGCCTCAGTGATGTGTTTTTGAGACTCAATCAGTTCAGACATAACAACTTCGGCATCTATGGCTGTCCTCTCAATTTTCTTGTCTTCCCCGGAAATGTGGAGATCTGAATGAGCCTTGGAAGGTGACTGCAAATTATCATTATTTTCCTGCGCTGACAGTTTATCCTCCTTTTCTCCCATGTAGTCTTTCCTCTGGATCCCATATTGGTGTAATTCATCAATATTGTAAGAAGATGAACCTTTAACCAGTAGAGGTATTCCTTTATCTCCTGGCTCAATACGCAAAACGCTTTTGGGTTTATTTAAAGCCTTAAGACCACTTCTTGCAATAGTATTAGCAAGCTCACTGTGAGAGGGTGTGCAACCCATCCTTTCTCTGTCTCTGGCTTTATTTTTGATTAAAAATCCAGATGAACTAGGGAATACAAGAAAGAACAGAACTCACTGTTTCATCCCGAACTGCGGCTGGCCTTTTTCTCATGAGTTTTCCACTGCATTCCCAGTTTTGCTGTCAGATTCCATTGTTTGTCTCAAAATCTCACATGAGCTTAGTGCCAAGGATCTACTTTAGCATTTGTGCACTGCTCCAATGTACATTCCAATTCAGGTTTTCTTCTTTGATTCAAAAAAGAAGTGTGAAAGCCCTGCTGGATTTAGAGCTAATGGCTTAAGAGGACTTGCCTGCCTCACTTCAGTCTTGACAGATGTCCACTACAAATAAGATTTTAAGCTCATTAGAGTAAGCAGGCACCAGCCAGTCAGCACCCACCCTGTATTTATAAAGGCACATCTTTTTTTTCTGCACTACATTTGGAAGCAAAAGGGCTTGGTATCTGTCCCTTCTGTTTTCCCTTGTTGCAAAAATGTAACATACAACTGAATGCAGAGATCCAGAGAAAGAGACTGTGTTTTGAAGTCTTTTGAGGGGAAACTATTTGAACAGGCATGAAAATGCCACTAGATACTCCTCAATGAAGGGAAAGGTGACCTTGTTTGAGTATGTACTCACTGAAGAGTACAAGACATGAAATCAAATGGGTTAGAGATGCCTGCTAGATTTCTGCTTTTAGTCTTCAAAATTTTTCCCTACTTGCATATGACAAGTTGTTTAATTTTTCCTTCTAAGATTTCAAAACAAGGTTTTGATTTGTTTTTCTTCCCCTTTGGTGATCATTCTTGGAAAGTATTTTGTCCCTTCTAAATAGCTTTCCAACCTGAAAATCCAAACTGCAAAATAACAGTATTTGTAGAATAAGTTCTGCATATATTGTTAAGATGGTGTCTGCATCTAGTGGATATGCATTATAGAATTTCAGATTTTAAAATAAATACATTAAATTAAAAATATTTTTTTCTTTCCTTTGAGCATCTTGGGATAAAATTTGACGTTACAAAACTGACTTGCTTACCTTTATCTCTTTATGGGGTAAAACTCAAAGAAAATAAAGCTAGCAAATTAAAAATATAGACCCATTTCTGAAAAACAAAACAAACCCCAAACAGCAACAAAAAAAAACCCCTTCTGTTTGAATAATTTCTGAGGCCAGGACAGAATATTACCACTTGGAAAGATAAATTTAAGAAGGCAAAGCAGAAACTCCACATGAGTTGTTTGTTGTATTTGGGAAGTTCTTCTTCTTGACTTTTTCCTTTGATTTTACAATCACTTTTGTTTGTGTCACACTTTAGGCCCACCCAGCAACAAAGAACAAGGTGCCGCCGTTCTCTCACCCCTCCCCCCACTGCGGGATGGGGAGGAGAAAATCCAACTAAAAGCTTGTGGGTTGAGACAAGGACAGGGAAGATTCATTCACCAGTTATGGTCATGGGCAAAATTGACTTTACTTGGGGGAAAAAACAATTCAATTTGTCACCAATCAAATCAGAGCAGGACAAAATAAAAATATACCAGATCTTAAAAAAACCTTCCCCCAGAGAAGAAGAGTCTTCCCTGGGCCAAACTACATTGTTCCCTATTTCTCTTCTTCCTCCCCCACAGCTGTGAAGGGACAGGGAATTGGCTGTACAGTCAGTTCATCACTCGTAGTTTTCTGCCATTCCTTTCTCCTCAGTTAAAGGACTGCTCAGAGTTTTCTACTACTCCAATATGGGGTCTCTCCCACAAGAGAGAGTCCTTCACAAAATCCTCCGACATGAGTCTTTCCCATGAGGTGGAGTCCATCAGGAACAGATTGTTCCAGCACGGGCATCCCACAAAGTCACAGACTGCTTCAAGAACAGTCACCTCTCCAAACGCAAGGTCTGCCGTGGCAGGAGGTCCACATGTGCTCCAAAGGTAGGATTATCCTTATTAATGTGTTTTTAAATTTTAAAACAAATAACAAAAAATGCCTGTACAAGGACTTTGGGTACCCTCGCACCAACCAAACTTAAAATCAGATAAAATTGTATCCTCAAGCAAATTTCAATATCAATTTTTTGTATTTCAGAAAGGCCCTGTACTGCTCCACCCCCTGACCAAGAGATATAACTCTTCTCAAAAGCTGTCAAAGCATTCATCTGGAGTAAAGCAAGTGATTTCAGTAAGGCTGGAGTTACCTGAGACAGGTAACCCACTTCTACCTTTCACCAGTTTTGATAGTCTATATACATTCACAGAGACAGCTTAAGATCAAGGAATGAAGGTACTTAGAGGGATTTTAGAGCCCAATTTCTATTACTTCCAAGGAAAGGCAGGCACTAAAAATCCTTCCGAATACAACCTTAGGCCTACTTGGACTGCATACTTCAAAACAAGGAATGCAGGTATCATTGGAGTGGGATTAGGGCATAAAGTGGAGATTATGGTTTGTTTTTTGGTCTCACTGCATAGGATGAATATTCAAGAAATACAGCAGTGGCAATTTTGCCTGGCTAAGATCCCCTCCTAACAGAAGCTGAGCATGCCCCATTGCTTAAGGTATTAAAAATGCCCAAGAGAAAGCAGTAGGTACCAGAAATGAATGCATTATGTAGCTAGGATGGAAGACTGCCTCTGTCACTGACTGTAACACTGCCCTGTAACACAAAACCAGGCTCTCCATGCCTCAGTTTTGTTCCTCTGCCAGGCTGTCCTGCCGAAATGCTAGCATGCTATAAAGCATAATTAGAAAGACCTCTTGTGGCACCTCCATGGCTCCCAAAGGCTTAATTGCCTAAGGCATATTTGCTAATTCCTGCCAGCTGCATGATACTGAACCCCAAATGTACAGCTATGTAGGGGCACCCCTTTCTCCCTTGTGACCAGAAAAATAAGGCAGAGCAATTGACCTGCAGCCTGGGGTAGGCGCTGGATGTTCAGGAATCACATCCAGCTGCTGCTGACAGAAGTGTAGAAAATAAGGTGGTGCCGTTCTCTGTACAGAGGAGAACAGTGGCAGTGGTTTGCTGTTGAGTGAAAAGAAAGTCTTAGAAAATGGATTTCTGAAGATGAACAAATGGAACACAGCTGCATTTCAACAGCTTCAGGCCCTGGTGGTGTTTCAGTAGACAGTAACTGAACTCCTCGTCATTCTTCCGCTGCGTTAATCAAAAGGAAATGTTTCCTCTGGGTCTCACAGCTTATTTGGGTCATTAGCACCAAGCAGATGAAAATACAGAGTATTTAATGCTACCATTACTTTCTTACCCAACTAACAAGCTGTTTCTCTGGTGTCTTCCCAGCACAGCAAGCATACAATACCGTTACGTGAAACATGTTGTCGTGGTTTGGGCCTAACCAACAAAGAATTAGGTGTCTGCTCACTCACCCCTCCCCCCACTGTGCGAATTACAGAATCACAGAATGTTAGAGGTTGGAAGGGACTTCGAAAGATCATTTAGTCCAAGCCCCCTGCCAGAGCAGGATCCTCTAAAGTAGGTAACACAGGAAGGCATCCCAGCAGGTTTTGAACGTCTCCAGAGAAGGAGACTCTGCAATGTCTCTGGGCAGCCTGTTCCAGTGTTCTATCACCCTCACAGTGAAAAAGGTTTTCCTCATGTTCACATGGAATCTGCTATTCTCTAGCTTGCACCTGTTGCCCCTCGTCCTAACACTGATAAGAGTCTGGCTTCATCCTAGTGACTCTTGCTCTTTACATATTTGTAAGCATGAATGAGATTGGCCCTCAGTGTCCTCTTCTCCAAGCTAGAGACCCAGCTCCCTCAGCCTTTCCTCATAAGGGAGATGTTCCACTTCCTTAATCATCTCTGTGGCTCTGTGCTTGACTCTTTCATGCACTTCCCTGTCCTTATGGAACTGAGGGGCCCAAAACTGGACACAATATTCCAGATGCAACCTCACCAGGGCAGAGTAGAGGGGGAGAACCTCCCTTGACCTACTAACCACACCCTTTCGAATGCACCCCAGGATGCCATTGGCCTTCTTTGCCACAAGGGCACATCCTCCTGTCCACCAGGACACCAAGGAAAACTCTCCCTTTTTTTGACTTCCTCTGGGGCCTCAGGGGTCTGAGGACCTTCTCCAGCACTGAAGACAGAGACAAAGAAGGCATTCAGTAACTCTGCCTTCTTTGTATCCTCTGTCACCAGGGCACCCATCTCTTTCAGCAGTGGGACTATATTGCCTCTAGTGATAGTTTTGTCTGCAGTATATTTGAAGAAGCCCTTTCTGTTGTCCTTGGCCTCTCTTGCAAGGCGTCATTCCAAGGAGGCCTTAGCTTTCCTGGTTGCCTCCCACCATCCTGTGACAACAGCCTTGTATTCCTCCCAAGTGGCCAGCCCCTCCTGCCATGATCTGTAAACTCTCTTCCTCCACATGGGTTTGCCCAGCAAACCTTCTTTAACCATGCGGGTCTCCTGGCTCACTTTATTGATTTCCTACCTATTGGGAGGTTCTGATCTTGAGCTTGGAAGGTCCTTGAATGTTAACCAACTATCTTGGGCCCTTTTACCTTCTAGTACCCTGTCCCATGGGATTTCCCCTAGGAATTGCTTGAAAAGGCCAAAGTTGGCCCTGAAGTCCAGGGTTGTGATCCTGCTTGGTATTCTGTTCCTACTGCACAAGATCCTGATCTCCACCATCTCAAAGTCATTGCAGCCAAGGGTTCTCTCAACCTTCACCACTTCAACCAGGCCCTCCTTGTTAGTGAGTGTAAGATCCAGCAGCACTCCTCTCCTAGTTTGGTCATCCTCCATTTGCATCAATAAGTTCTCATCAATGCACTGGAGAAACCTCCTGGACTGTGAATGGCTGACTGAGTAGACCCTTCAGCAAATGTTTGGGTAGTTAAAATCCCCTATGAAAACCAGGGCCTGTAATTGTGAAGCTGCTTTCAGCTGCCTGTGGAAGGCCTCATCAGCTTCCTTGTCCTGATCAAGTTGCCTGTAACAAGACACCTAAAACAGTATTATGTGTCTGCCCACCCCTT